CATAGCTCTTCAGCCAACAGGGCAGGTTTCCTCCCATCTTGCCCCATGTTTATATTAATATTTTATTTGTTTTATTTATTTATCTTATTTATTTTAAATGTTTTATTTATTTTTCAAAAGATCCAGTTAAAGAAACATGGTTTAAGTTAAGTAAATGCATGATATTTCCAGAGTCAATGAGTAATGTCAATATGACCAAATAATCATGATGATTTTGCCCATAAGCGAGCAGTCTTACTTGGTAGAGACCATAACAGAGCTTACAGAAGAGGTAATGAAAGACTTAGATGCATCAGATGGCCAAAAACATGACTCCAAATAAATGCCAATGTATCCTGAATGTGAAAATATGAGACTTTTTTTGCATTCACCAGTATAAATTTATCGGTGACAGTCAGTCAGCATTGTATTTTAAAGAAATCTATTAATGCTGCTTTAATGATGGCTCCATTTTATGTAGGTTCTACAGTACAGACACTGTCACACCCAAATACAATGCAGCCGTTATTAATGTTATTAGTTACACATGTTGATGAGTCAATATGTCCTCTGTAAGAAAGACCTACAGGCTGATATTCATGCCCTAACAGGTTATCTTCAACAACTCTAAATGTGGTTTTCAAAGAGTTGAGACAAATACACATTTTACAGGATTTCTTACAATTAATCATTACCGTTATTATTAACAGAATCTGCATCACCATCTGCTGAACTGTGATATTTTACTCTGCCAACTCAGCTGCCGCAGACTGTCGTCAACAAAAGAACCTACTCTGCAGACAATGAAATTGTAAAATTACGTTTTTAAATTATTTAAAGTGCATTTCACTGCACTGTGTACTCAAATTGTGCAAATCAGCCAACATACAGGAGCTCTGATGACACTACAATATTAGGGCTGTAGAAACGTATCATCTGGCTGGTTTCGAAGAGATATGAGCCTCCAAATGTTGAGGACTTCTGCCTAAAAACATAAATATCTAATGTGTAGATCCACCAGTCACATTGTGTCAGTCAGCCTCATCTCAACTGTGGCCATGTTTCATCCCCTTGGCACCTGCTGTCATCTGGATGATAAGATGAAAGACAACTTACATCTTAAAGACTGAGCTTCAGCAAAATGTGATGATGAATACTGATTTTACACACTCTGTAAGAAATGGACAGAAATGTAGCCCCGGGGGGCTTGTCATGACCTGTCAGGACTTAGGAATGGAGCGCTACATCTACACTATCAGATTATGATAATCAAGCTCTTGTTCACTAGCTGCAGTCTATCATCAACTGAGGTGCCATTTACATACGGTGTTAGTCATAGGCTACTCATGTGGTCTTTCAGAGCCACAGCAAGTCAATAAATACATATTGATAAAGGTCATCTTGTTGACAGGAACACAGCCATTTAAGCTCAGATTCTGTCTTAAAAATATAAATCTGTGTAATCTCCAGTGAGTTAAATTAAACTATTTTTAGTGGATTACTGTCAATATGGTGACAAAATGTCAAGATTAAAATCGGGTTAATCCTACTGTGATCTTCAAATAGAAAAATCCCAAATCGAGGTTTCAGGATTCAAGGATCAGGATGACTATTATAGTAGAGATGGAAAGCAGCTTCTGTGAGATTTTAGGAGAAGATGTGAACTCTGGTTCACTTCAGACTGAAAGGTAGATTTTTACACCTCACCAAAGAGATTGTGTTAATGTCTTTCATCCTTCCGAGGCTCAAGAAACTCGAGCATAAGGATCTGGGGGTTACAGAATATACTCATCTTAAGACCATGATATTCTAAAAAGATAACAACTGCCCAGGAAAGAGCGGATTTAAAAAATTGAAACAGCTTGCCCTGACAGGGCGCTAGAGAGCCAACTTTCATGGTCATTATTTTGAATTTCAGCAGGTAGTGCAAAATGTTCCTAAAATTTGGCCACGGTCCACAAGAAAAATCTCAGTTTTTCACAACAGTGGTAACATATGCTGAATGAAATCATTAAGATGGACTAAACTGCTTAATTGCATTGGAAATACAAATTAATGCATTCTCCCCTTGCCCACCCACCCCATTACAATGCAAAACATTTTGAATGCTTTGTTTCCCAACTGCATCATAACCCAGACATAATGGAATTCTTCCTTCATTTATTCAAGGTCAAAGCTCATCACTCCCACAGTCCTTTGCATTGTAAATCTTCCTCTCAACATGTCTGTGGGGGAATTTGAATAATTGAAAATTTCCTGTAGTCGTCATCTAAATATCAGTATTCTGCTAGTGAATAGTGATTCCGTGTCTGGAAAAGAAAACAGCATGGACACACGTTAGCAAAAGAGTCAACAAAATACAACCTTGTATATTAGAAGCATGTCTTGATTTCACAATTTCTGCTGAAGATTTTCTCATAAACTGCCGAGATGTTTTCTTTTTCCCACAGAAGCAGGTTATGAACTCAGTTACTCTATTAGAGAGCAAGCCCCTGTGTTCGCAGTTAGTTGTGTGAGATTATTATCAGATACAGCCCCAAACACTCAGCTCGATGGGTATGGAATACTGGCACTCATCCAAGTCCTGACAAACACATATCTGCCCATTGAGAGCAAAATGCAGGGTGGTGTGGCACTGCTTCACTCTCTCCAACCAAACAACACACAACAGTGATGGATATCAACGAGGCTGTTCAAATCTGATGCCAGTTATTCACGGTCAGGTGAGAGTTCACAGTTTGCTGGACCACCAAATTTGCCCAGCAAAAACAAGTAAACATGTAACAAATCAGAATTCATTAACTGTGTTCTACCAGCTCATTTTACAGCAAAAGCATTTTCAATCAAGCAAAACAACGGCAATTAGCTTCCCATGAATGATTTGTTTCTCAAGACACTCTTGAGTGCTGCTTGGAAACAAACATGTAAATGGAGAGGTTCCCAATTCGCAATATTCGTGATACAAATGGAGAATAAATAAATAAATAAATAAATAAGACTGAAAATCAATATTAAATTAGCGTTTTATCTTCTCACACAGGAGCAAAGAGTTTTGATCAACTCTGGAGATTATAGAGTCGGTCGCTTAAAAACTGGCCATCTGTGGGGATTTCTTTCAGGGTTGATTAAAGATACAACAAAGATAAGAAATCGTATTTTTGAGAGTGGATAGACTCAATTGAGAGATAAGTAAGTTAGGTGGTACTCCATCAAACCTGCACTTTAAGAGATGGGATATAGGACACACAGACGCAGTGAGAATAATAAATGGTGAAACAGAAACAAGTGATATTGCAGTGCTGCCTATCCCTAGGCTGCAACTTTATTTATTTTTTTTCTTTTTGGCCAATGTACTCTTGTTTAAATAAAATAATGGGCAATCCAGACTAAGCCAAGGAGAGCTTTGCTTTGCCTACTGCTTTTTGGATCTGTATTTCACTAAAATAAAGTGGCCTTATAGTAATGAAACAGTCTGATTAAACCGAAACTTATATTCTTGCATTGGGAGTAAGAGTGGAGGTTGCATGACAGGAAAAATGTACACATGAATTTCAGATAAACTACAGTGATTAACAGTAATACAGTCACATTCTTACTTTATTTTTCATTATGCTGGTTTAACTGTAACACTAATTAAACAATTTTAAGTATGGCTCAGGGACTACATAATTTCTCTCTTTCAGAATATGCCTATTTAAATTAAAAATACAAAAAATAACTAAAATGCCACCCTTTACATTGAGGCCTACTTACGCTCCCTGTGTAAATGGCACTTTTTAAAAATATCACAGCCACATCTCACAGTGCAGCTGCAGTTACCGTGTGTGTTAAGATCTTTACGACAACGTATTGTCTGATGTCACCCAGATCCAGGTCTCTGCTTTAACTAATATAGTCCATTAATTCTAATCAATACATGAAACTACTGTGGGGCAAATTTATGTTACTGTGTCTATTCCAAACTACTTTTCAATTTAATACTCCATCGTTAAATGGGTAATGTATTACCAGCTATATAATCAGCTAACACAACAAACTAAAACCAATCCCTTTACAATTTATTGAACCTCATTCATACATAATGGTGAATGAAGAGTTATGCTTGATTGGATACGTAGCCAAATGGAGTGTTGAATGAATCAAAGCACACAGAATGACTGCTTGGTGATAACTCAGCACCACAGCACCTTTTTTTTCCTGAATGATGTCTAAAATTATCTTTGTAGAAGTATCTGTTTTGTTTAGACATTTGAAATGCACAACAAACATTAAATTGTTTCCCTCGGCAATTGAGAAATAACTTGTCTGAAACAGATAGTTTTGAGCAGCGCTGATGAAAATTTGAATGAGCAGAATAAACAAGGTGGGGAAATAATGACAACAGACAGCACGGTGACTCCGACCTCATAACAAAGCAATAATCAGTGAGGAACTTTGATTTGAACAAAGTTATTAAAGCATCCGTCAGATTTGCAGAAACAAATGCTACGTGCATGCCTTAACCATCAACTTGACCTCAGCACAACACCTCATGGAAAGGTGTTTCCACAAGATAGGTACACACAACACCTAAAAAATGATTTCCCTCTTCTCAAAACCAAGCTGTCTTCAGAGATCTCAAAGCGATCCAGTAATGGCAAAAAAGGGAAATGTTGCAGCAGTTCACCCCAGGATCTTTCCCTCATCACAGGTTTTATGCACTGTTTGCCATCAGCACAGCACAAGCATCAACCTCAGTACACAATGCAACACAACCAACAACAACAGCAGCTTTTGGAAGTACTGACAACACTTAAGAAATAACAACCACAACATTAACACTGGACTATATTAAGAGTACCAGATGCATTAAAGCCAGGCATCGGTTTCAAATAAATAGCTCAAGCAACATTAAATCTCACTTTAAGCTCATTTGAACAAAAATGAAAGGGACAGGCTGTCAGGTCTGGCAGGAAATAGAACAGCAAACATACTGTGCAGAATATCAACATGTTAAGATAAGAGAGCGCATCAGGACTTACTGTGGTGAAGTTGACCGGGTAGCAATCCTCTCCTCGAAAGGTGCACTGCAGTAACATGTCACGGATGTCATGACCTGTGCGGTTATAGAAATCAGTCATGTTGAACAGTTTGGGCTTGAAGTTCTGGAAGTTTGCCTTATCCTTTAGGGCAGCCAGAACCTCGGGCTCAGCCAAGTGTGGGTTGGCTATTTGATAGTTATTGTTGAGGAGGGCCAGGAGCTCTCCCACATGATACAGGTCATTTCTGGTGATTTTGGAGAAGCGGAACTCATTGAGGTTACAGAAGGTGACAGCTGGGAAGGTGAGGTTCGTCGCCGCCACCTCATCCAGTTTGGTGACGTGAGGGTACTCCAGGTAATATGACACTCGATCCATGCAGACCAGCAACAATAAGCTTAGTGAACCGAGGAAGGAAAGACTCCAAAGAAACCGACGGAATGTCATGTGCCCATAGGCGAATATATGACTCATGCCATGTAGGGTGGATATGTTAGCAAAAGCTTGCAGGTTGGAGGGCCTGACGCTTTCAATGCTTTCCTCTGAGCTCCCCTTCATGGCTGTAGAGTGATGCTCAATACTGTCTGCCCAAGAACTTCAGGTTAAAGACTTTGCTTAGCAACAGCAATAGGGGAATCCAACCGGCAGTGTTGGTTTGGCTGCACTGCTTCTTTATTCCCCTCCAGAAGTGGCAATGGTCTCAACAAATAGCTACCTTAAAATGGTTGTCAGTCTCTGTAACAGTTTTCTTTTCATCCCAATTCACCTTCCAGTGGTTGTCAGCTGTTCCTGTAGTCCCAGGTCCCCCCTTTTCTTTCAGGCTGCTGTTTTATTATCTCCAAAGCCGTCTCTCTCTCACTCCCTGCTCAGCTGTCCTTTGTAGCGGCACCAAACACAATGACAGCTCCAGAAACACCCACTTCTACCAAAACGCAATGCCTCCTGATTCCTGAGTGGTGTGAAAAGGGACAAGAATACAAGGGACAAGAAAAGAGAGGAGAACAGAGAAAATAGCAGACGTAAGGATAGAGGCGAGAGATGGGGGGGGGGACTGCAATGAAAAGGGCTAGCGTTTGGAGAGAGGTGCTAAGCCTCAGCAGTCAATGGGACCCTTCCTCCTCTAAGCGGAGAGAATGCCTCTACATCGCTGTGATAATGGGATGCAATGGTTTTGTGAATGGAAGTAATAAAGAGAGAAATGGCTCACTGGTCCCCTCGCTGCCACCTTCCTGTTTCTCTCGTGTCTTTTTTGGCTCTTCTTTTTTCTTCCAGAAATAAAAATCAGGGGGTCAGAGACCTCCGACCAGCCCACCACTGTGCTTGACAACCGGCGTTCACAGCTCCCACGGGTTCCACTTCCTTATTTGCACAGATCCTCAGTTAATAGGGAAGACCACCTCTTGATGCTGTATGGTCACCCCCCACCAGCAGAACCACTAAAGCCGCTTCGAGACCTCCAGCTTTAGTCCTGTTAACATACAGATTTATATTCTGCCGTGTGGAGCCTCTCTTTTTCGCTTCCTCTCTCTCTCTCCCACCACTCCCCCATTTCTTGCGCTCTCTCTCTCTCTCTCTTTCTCTTTCAGTCTCTCTCTCTCTCTCCCTCTCCCTCTTTAGTAGTCAGGATCCATCCCACTGCTGAATGGCTGCTTTGCCTGTGTGTCTGTGCTCACAGGGGAAGTCTCTCAATCTGGACACCACCTTCACTGTGTTATTATTCTCTAATCTGCTCCCACAGTCTCTGCCGCCAACATGTTTGCTCGCATACCAGAATGCTACAGGTTGCATATTTATCGCGTTGATATAATGGAATTCCGGAAATGTCCACATTTTAACCTTCTCATATCACTGCAAACAAGTAAAGCAGGCAAATATAAGACCCAAACCAGCTGGATAAATGTTTTCTTCATTATATAATTCATTCGTCATCTGATTTAAGGGCTTTATATATTATATGATTGTATGTATCCACTCTTGTGACAGCATGGGTTAAATATTTCCATTTTCTTTGACGTTCCAACAGATGGACTAATCCCAAAAGCATTTCAGTCTGGCTCTTGCAGACCAGGGATACGGTTCGCTGTGTGTGACTACATGAGAGTTTCAGGCTTGACCAGTAATGGAGTTGGTGATTTTACTGGGGTTAATATTTCACCACACCACTCTGAGAACCCTTTTCATTTCTCCAAGGACCAAACAAGATTATCACTCGTTGGCTACCCGGGGATGTCTTATTATCATAACAATAGGTGAACCGCCAAGGATAGGACCACAGCCCTCGAGGATTAAATCAATATTCTGCCCTAGTAACCATGCGCAGAGACCATAGCAACCATTACCCACAACACTATGGAGGCATGCAGTTTGGATGAAACTACCCGAACCATTTCATCAGTAAACTTCTGAGAAATACAATGTCAACTATACATTGTTACAGTCGAGATGCAATTAAAAGAAATGTTCACGGAGGGAAATGCAACATGATGCCCGAAGTGATAGAATCTTGTGGTTTTGAATCTGCCCATCACAGTCGTTTCACCTGACAGGGAACGCTAAGACTTAGAATGGCTCGACAAAAACAATATCTGAGGTATTGCAATTTCAAAACTACAAAACAGCATCCTATTTTTTGCTACTTCCCCCCAAAAAGCAGTACAGGCTAAACTCAAAAAGCCACTTTTATTAGCTCATAACATCATAACACCTTAAATACATCCAATACTATTCCTTGTCAAAATGTCTTGTTTAAGACTTGATTAATTTGAATTTGAAAGTGGCTCATGTTTGACTCAAGGCTACATAATCTCCTATGATTTAAAATATATAAAATTCACCTGCACTCCTTTGTATTCACAGTCCAATAATGATTAATGTGCGAAAAAGAACACTTAACAGTGAGGTTAGTGAAGGTGGCCTGAGACACCACCTATCCCCCATTTACAATGCGGCCCTTGCTGCTGTACCTAAGAGACTGAACAACAAAGACTGCCCGAAACTAACCTCAAGTGGCTCAAAGAAACACAACGACAGTCGTTCACTGGTAACCACACATCATGCCTAACGACTGTTGCTCACCAGTGGCCCCACCCACTCCTAACGACCGTCGTTCACTAGTGTGATTCACCTGACCCAAACAATGGTCCAGTGAAACTCCACTAACGAAGTATTGTCTTATGAGGGTGGTGGGTGTACACCTCCACAGAGGTTAAAAACCTGAGTCTTACTCCACTGTTTGTCAGACTAGTGAGGACTAGTCAGACTGATGCGTTGAGAACTGATGAAGCCGCTTGGATAAGAGGCGAATTGTCTTCTAGACAAAATCAAAGTCCAGTTGCCTACGATTTAATTGTTGCCAGAATGGAATTGACCTGGATAAATGAGAATATCCACAGACTTAACAGTGATGGATGATGCTGTGCCTGTTTAACATATGAGACCTTCACTGAGTTTTAATATGTCTTCATTCATAAACAGAGCCAGGCTAGTCAGTGTTGCTGACAAACACTGGCAAACGAAAATCCCTTAAGGAAACTGCCTGAAACAGAAATAGAGAACGAACTTGGCTGAATGGTTATGGTACTAGATACTACTCTGCGATGAGCATAACATTTATTGGTGAGTGTGTAGGGACAACTAGAAATGTATACTGTAGTGGTGTTTGCTGAGAATACATTAACTAGAAAAACACACAATAAGCAATCCGACAGCAGCAACTGAGTATAAGGGACCACCTCCAAGTACTGGACCAATTTGTGGAGTGTGGTGGATGTGCAGAGGGTTGACTATAACCTGACCTGTTGTGTCCATGATATTATGTGTCCTGCAAGAACCAAACCTCACCTTTTATATGAGAAAAACAGGAAGCCCTGAGGTGAAATCCTGTGACTACGGTGATAATATTACATACATGGTCTCACAGTAACTGAACGCTGATCTCAAACTGCAATAAAAATTAGACTGTGATAAATAACTGAACCGTCTACAGTAAAACAAACATTTCTTCACATATTGATTAATATTTAACATCAGAGTATAGTGATTTTTTTGTTATTGTCGCATAAATCTGCATTTGACATTCAATTTCCATATCCTATAATAGAATGCAAATACCCTTCACACTGAATTTATTTGCATTCTCTTTACATTTGGGTAACGTTGTCCTGTGTAAAGATTAGCAAAGTTAAATCCCAAATTCATACTGGCAGGCATGCCTGTTGTTGCAGATTGCAGGATGAGAGTGGTGGACTTTTCAACAGTAATTGGCTTTCAAGTGGATGGTAGAATGCACAGCATAATGCAGTGAATATTAACAAGGAGGGGTAATATTTGAGTCGCTGCTAAGCACTGCACTCTCTTTTTTGGGGGCCTTTGAATTTAACTTTTAACTATCAGCTAATGTTCTGAAAAATTCCAGGGCTAAAATATGTCAGGCTTATGGAGGCTCGTCTTTTTCTTTCATTACCAACACAATGTCAGAACTGCATGTTAACTAGTTCAGATATGTTTGTGAAAGCAACAAAATGTTGTAAAGATTTATAAACATTTAAAGACGAGTCGACCCTAATGCAACCGAGACAAGAGCGAGGAGTGATTCACATCATGTTTAGGCTAATATGAGTGTCTATGTAAACAGCACAACATATAATAAAGCTCTTAACCATAATGTATGCTCTTCCTTTATCCTATATATATGATTGTACTTTGTTTAAAGCTAGACCTTTCAGTTTACAGTTTTTGCACATTCAAGAAATGTGTTACCTCTTAATCCACAACAGCTTTATCTGGGTTAATGTACAATAAAATGTTTAGCACTGCCAGAAATCAGTAAATGTGATCAAAAGCTACACAATGGAACGCTAAATGGAGCCAGGATTTCTGGTAATTTAAGGAAAGAGAAATGCTTTTAATCTGCCAAGATATGATATGGTTTAGGCTGGTCCATAAAGCAAAGTCACAAACAATGTGATTTACACTGCTGGTCTGCTGTGCTGCTCGATATCACCAAAAATTTGGTGACAAAGCTTTGGCAAAAAAACAGTTTAACCTAATTTGACAAGTAAACATCTTAATTTCGTGAAAACAGCACTGCAGCAGTGTTGCCTCTCTCACTCCGTGGATCTAAATGATGTTGTATATTAACTAATAATGCCATAATTACTACAGATCAGCAAAAAATCCTATGACAAGCAAGCCGCCCTGATATGATGTAAAGCTAAAAGGAGCAATTACAGTTTGTCATTCTTGGTGATGCCCAAGTTATGCAGATCTGGCAAGCACCTCAGAGGACAGATTACCCTGTTAGGAACTGAACCCTGCAGTAAAGCAGTTGACATTTAAGAGCACATACATCATGAAGTTAAAGAAGGAACAGCAGAGATGCAACACTGCACAGAACAGAGCGATGCCAGCACGGAGGAACAAAAACATTATCTGAACAGCAGATTAGACTGAAGGTGCGATCCTTTATAACTACCCCGGGCTCGTGGCACTTTGTATTGCTACATACTGTGTTCAGCAGCGTATGAAGGTACACTGGAACTACACAGCCAAACAAGTAAACTCAAGTTTATGGTAGTTTTGATGAGTGTAGAACATTGAAATTGCATGGCATCGCAATACTTTGCGTGACAATATTGTATCGATACACTAAGTTTTGTCAGTTTATCAGTTATTAAAAGTTTGATAGCAACTATAATAAAATCAATTGCTTTTTTCAGCTTCATAAAAATGACTGAAGTGAGAGGAACAGACTGAAAGTGTTATCTTATTAGAAAAAAAATGTTCTTTGGATTAGGGTTGCAATGTTAGGATAATTTTAACGGTACGATAACTGTCTCCAAAAATATCAGGGTTTCATGGTATCACAGTATTACAGATTTTATATTATTATCAGTCAGAATGACCCTTAAAGGTATGAAAATGGAAAGGTTATTTTTGGTTAAACAAATGTTTATTTCCATAATTGAAACTTGACAACATTTACTAATAGAAGTATGTATAAAAAGTTTACCCTTCGAAAATAACTAAAATAAAGGGGAGATTCTCCGTCTAGTTGCATTTTTTTTTCAATATCGTAGATAAGCAAATGTACACGGTATGATAATCATCAACTTTTATATCACGGTATACCTTCAAAGCGATATATCGCTGCAACCCTACTTTGGGGACATAATTTGCAGTTGAAAAATAGTAATAGATTGCAATATGTTATCACAATATCAATATCGCATATCACAATATGTTTAACATTGCGATAATATTGAATCATGATTTAAGTATTGTGATAATATTGTATCTCTGCTGATTCCCAACCCTAGTGCGTAGTCGAAATTAGAAATAACAAAACAACTATTTCGTTTACAATGCTAGTTAGATCAGCAAATAATGTTCCTGACCCTTTTTCACCTGCACTGTATCACAGACCTTTACTTCATGACTAAGATAAACTAAATGCTAATGTTTCACCCTTAAGGGTTTGGATTTCTCATCCAATGAGGGGGAAAATTATAAAGCTCCAACATTTGTTTTAGTGTGGATATGTTTACAGAAACAGAAACTGGTATATTTGTATAAAAGACTGTGAAACAACTTGTGCATTCGGCAACTACAGAGTAATCACTGCAGGCATCAAACTAAGCTTTGTTCTATTAAGCTTCAAACCCTGCAGGAAAAAAATAAAACAAACACTCCTCTTAGCCTTTAGCAATATGTTGATATGAAAGGCTGCGATAAACACAACAGCCGACATTTTTCTTTTTCGGTGACAGACAGACTAAGCGAGGTAGCAGATGTGCGTGCACACTCACTCACCTTTTCTCCATCTTCTCTTCACAGATGAAACATGCAAAACGCAGATTTCTGCCAGACAACAGAGAAAAAGATGGCCTTCACAATACAGTCAACCAATGGCTGTTATTCAATGCGTGTGGCAGTCGCTGCAAATGACCTTGCATAAATGCTGTCTGAGATAAGGGCCTATTCATATGTAATCTACTGCTCAATATCTGCTGTGTGCTCGTGGGGAACAAAACTGAGAGGTGAAGAAAAAGTCCAGGACCCTGGACCTGGGAATGGCAATTTACTGTGAAGAGATCTGGGACTAATTACATACTCAAATTGTAACACTGAGGGTGTCATTCATCAATACAAATGTATGAATTTCTAAACAGAAAAAGCAGATAATTTAGCAAATCTAAGAGAACATCAGAGGGTCCTTGAAATGTTTCAGCAAGAACACTTCATGTAAAACCTGTAGACTAATAATATGGATCCCATACTGCTTAGGCTGAATACATATTAATGCTTAAACCACAGCTGACAAGATGTTTGTGTATTTGTGAGCCGAGTTTTGTGTGTACTCCGTGACAGATAGAAATGTGTCTCTTTACATCTTGTTTTGTGAGAATTTAAATAAATAACTGTGACTTGCTAAAGGTTTTCAGTAATGAGCCCAAAGCTATTTAAAACCCAAAACGTTCCCATGATGAAGCTCTTATTAAAAAGCTCCACTGCTTAGAGCTCTTCGGTGATTGCCTTGACACTACTGTCAATTTACTTCACACTCTACAACCTAAATAGCCTACTTGATAGAGAGTGATGTTGCAGTAACTTTCTCACTTTCACTGCTTACCCAATATACCATCCGATGATTCATGATATGGGTGTATCTCAAAATTGAGTGGAGCCTCACTAGCAGGTTTAAAGCTGGAACAACTGGCCCGAGCTTTGGTATGATAGTAAAGAATAGGCATGATGAAGTGCTTTACTATTTAGAGAGATGTGTTTGTATGATAAAAGGTATTATTTGTGTTCAGTTCACCCAAGTCCCTTGGGTCTCATCAATCAAACAGATAAAATGTCTTTGATACAGGAGCTAGGACATATAGTATATATATACACAGCACACACACACATCAGACAAGATAGATACATCTTTGAATTGTGTTACTGGCTTATACTTAAAAGGGACAGTTCGCCCCAAAATCAAAAATACATATTTTTCCCCTTACCCGTAGTGCTATTTATCAGTATAGATTTTCTTGGTGTGAGTTGCCGCTTGTTTGAGATATAAGCTTTAGAGATATCTACCTTGCCTCAGATACGAAGCCCAGTTCAGACCAGAGATTTGCAATGACACAAGTTTAGATAGGCAACTACTTGCGATGCGCCATTCTGCAATGTTCTAAAAACCTGCGGGTTCACAACAACACAACTAGATGAGACAGTGTTTCATCTCTATGCAACAACTCTCTGTACTTGCGTTCTGATTTCTGGCTTTTCAGGCTTATTTTGTGGCTGAATACTAAGGATAGACCGATACATCGGCTGGCCGATATATCGGGCCGATATTTGAGTTTTTTACTTGTATCCGCATCGGCCGATACGCGCGTGGGTTCGCTGATTTATTTTTCCCTGGCACTTTTTTTCATTTGAAAGTATGTGGTTAAGTTGAACAAAGCTGTTGAATCCTACTGTGTACAGTAGTTGTTGTTTTATTTGTGCTTCAGCTTAAATATTTGTTTATTTTATAAAGACATTACTGGAAGATTTAAGAGCACTGAACTCTTTTTTTATTTGAATGTATAATAATAATAATAATAATATTCTACCTGTTCTACCTCAACTTTCCATCTTGTTTTAGTATTTTTTACTGTTCAATAAATGTTTCTTATTTTAAACTTGAGACCTATAATATTTGTTATCATTGTGTCATTTTTTTTTTATGTAAATTGAGGGAGCAAAAGCAGTATCGGCCCCAAATATCGGCTCAAGAAAATCCGCAGTCCATAATCGGTCATCGGCTAACGGTGGTGGAAAAAAATCGGTATCAGCATCGGCCCTAAAAAATCCATATCAGTCTATCCCTACTGAATACAACTTGTAGCTTTCTAAAATATTGATGGGGATAGTGATAGTGAGATACTGGCTACAGCTGCATTTGTAGTAGTGATGAAACAGCCAAAAAACAAACAAAACAAACAAAACCAGCCAAACCAAATACGCCTTAATAATATAAATAACCAGTATCAATAAATCAGTTGATGAGAATGTGTGTGTATGAGGGGGCAGAAGCACGCACAGCGAAAAGCAACAGCGACCAGCACGTAGTGAGGACAAAACCAGAGCCCACGGGGGGACGGAGCAACTACATCGATTATTAACATTTTGACTTGGCCAGCGGACTTCACTGTAGATTGACTGTTCAAACAGGTGACGTGCTTTACATTCTCAAACCAGTTGCCAGTGATTTGACCAGCTGAGCTGCAGGTGACACTATCAGCCAGCTTGAGTCAAACTCTGACCAGCCAGTTCACACCGCTGCAACTTTTTTCTGCAACGTCTTAATGGAAGTAGATGGCACTTAGCCTGTGGTGCAATGTGTCTTTCCAGAAATCCCAACCTGGTTTTTCAAAATAATCCACAGACCTTGTTGTGAGCAGTTTCATGTAGTAACTGTTTCTTTTCTACCGACTTACCGAACGCACAGCTCCTGCTGGCTCACCTACAGAAGCACAGAGCCAGCTAACTTTACAGCTAAGCCGAGAAGGACGCTATCAGTCATCTCACGCTGTCAGAAGCACGAGCTTCAGGTCCATGAGTAGCTGCACCCTTCCTTCTGTGAGATGATATGATTGGTGGGTGTAGTTTGGAACAAAGAAAATCGTTTCCATACATAACTGCTCACAAAAAGGTCTGCAGATTATCTTGAGTAACCGGGTCATGGTTTCTGGAAAGAGACATTGCTGTTGAGTTTTCCAAAAGTATTTTTGGAGCTCTGAGTACCACAAGCCGAGTGCCATCTAGTTCCATTATACTGAGGAGAAGGCAGACATCTCTATGGTCGATATCTCCAACACTCAACAAATCACACCAGAACAATCTAGATTGATAAACAGCACCACAGGTAAGAGGAAAAATATGTATTTGTGATTACAGGGTGAACAGTCACTTTAATTACTTAGTACTTACTTTAGTTACTGGTATGTCACTAATAGGAAATATTGTATTTAAATATAAATAAGAGATGTTGTTTAACTGAACTCTGAGAAATAAAATAACCTTGTGGGATTTGCAGAATAAAATGTTTTAAGAGAAAATAATATGTGCAGTCAAACTCAGCAGACACCGACATTTTTCATAATCAAATCTGAGTTAGTCCTCAAATGCACTATTATTCTACATGACTTCAACAATCACACACTGAGGACCAATTTGGATGTTAAACTTCATCCAGAATAACAAAACAAGAATATCTAAAAAGAAATTACAGGCTTGGAGCAAAACATTTTTATCCCAATTATCAGCATGAAAATCTTGAATTTGTTTGAGATGTTCTACACATAAAAATGTCCAGGATCAAACACAAGCTTAGGGATGTAAATACAACATTACTAAACAAACAAATCTCCCCATTATCACAAACAGACACAACAGCAATACCAATGAAAAGCTGGAATACATTCTGTGTACATCAAAAGGGCAGACAAACCCACTAGGGGGCCTCAGATCATAACCTGCCATGGCTTAATGTATACTACCAGCTGCCACCACTGTGCACTTATTGATGCAAAGACACTGGACACTATATACACAGTATCTGGATTTTTCTGGTGTCTGAATGTGATGAGAGAATATGTTGTTAGCACAAAGCTGAAATACTAGTGGCCCTTTGCAATTAGTCCGAAATAAGAGTTTATTTAGACACAAACAGTTAATGCACCGAGTAAATACAGTCTGATTTAAAATGATAGAGACTTAGCAAAGTAGTCCAATATATTAGAAAGCTAGACATTATTAATGAAAATTCCCAAACATATCTGCCGCACACTTTATCAGACAAAATGAACCTGGGGCTTTTGGGGCTGGGCTTTTGAGGCAAGTGCCTGCTTTAATCCTGCCTTGCTCATAATACCATACATTTTTAATAAGCATAGCCTCAGTGTACATTAATCTATCTGGTAACAGTGCAGGTCTACATGTGGATCACCAGTGAGCTTACCTGAACACTGATTGTGGCTACTAAAACGCAGCTCAAAAGTCTTTTCCTGTAAATGTTATGTTATCTAAAAATACCCCTGGGTCCAAAATATTTTGTTGGCTACTGGCTACATGGAAGATTACAATGGATTACAGTGAGTGGACTCTACTACAGGTAGACAGCTCCAATTGAAAGGTTTCATGTAGCCTTAAAAATGGTGCAAGTGTGCCACCCAGAGGACACCATTATTATATGCAACGGTATAACTTCCCCTTTGTTGCATTACAAGACTGCAGTGCAAAAACAAAACGAACATTACATGTCTGAATAAAAACTAACACGTTTGGGAGGCCTCTTAGCTGCAGTTTTATTCATTCCTGTAGTCATTAATTTTATCTTAATGTGCAGTTTAAGTCTACTCGCCCCACAAAGCAAAGCAGGTGAGCTTAATCAGTCACTAATTAAACGCACGCTACATAAACAGCTGCCCATGAGCCAGAAAACGGGGATAATTATTCCTAAAGAACTTGATATAGCATTTGGCGTAGTTCATATTGTCAAAGTTAATATTTGAAAGCGTTTAAATATGACTAATGATATATCTAAAAAGAAGGGGAAGAGTTCGGGTGAGAAAAGGGGGAAAAGAAAAGCCAAAAGAAGAGAGACTTACGCGATGTACATCTATAAAGTTTTGAAACAGGTGGGTGAAAACACTTTAGCTGCTTCGCTTTTCCTGCCTTTAAAATTAACTAATAACTCCTTTCCTCTCCGCCTACATAGGTCCATCCGGACACGGGCATTTCAAGCAGAGCAATGAGCATCATGAACTCCTTCGTGAATGACCTGTTTGAGAGGATTGCCACAGAGGCGTCCCGGCTGGCTCAGTACAATAAACGCTCCACCATCACCAGCAGAGAGGTGCAAACTGCGGTGAGACTGCTGCTGCCCGGGGAGCTGGCTAAACACGCCGTGTCTGAGGGAACCAAAGCTGTCACCAAGTACACCAGCTCCAAATGAAGACTTCAACACCCATAAAGTTGCTGCGACAAAGATTTCAAACCTGTGCAACAACTGTTATCTGGTTGACTTCAATAAACGTCAGCATTAAAAAGCAGATGTGTCTGTATTTATTCTCTTCTTTTATTTAGAGAGGGAAGAGCAGTAACGCGCCAGTATTGACCACTAGATGGGGTAATTGCACATCTGTCATATTGCAGGCATATTGACTGAGTGTCTTTGATAAGCAGACCTAATTCCTGTACATTACAGCTATACATGTTTTATTTGCAGACAAAATACCTAAAATCAACTGTAGATACATATGTGTATATAAGGACAATAACCCACATGCATGGGTTCATTATGATGCTGCATTTATATAAGCACCTGCATGTATTTGCACAGTGCTATTCGATATTTAGCTGTCAAATTATGCTTTTTGACACACTGTAAATTACAAAGTCAGTCAATTCCCCATCATCACTAATCCCAAACTATCTGCATAACAGAAGACAGTGTGGTAAAGGATCACAACAGCTGTAACTCTACAATCGGTACATATTTAATACTCTGGATACTGATAATAAATGACAGAGTATTAGTTATTTTTTTGGTGCATATTGCAGCATTTGGTTAAGTATGAGGAGGCTGAGTGACATCAAACTTATTTCTGATTGTCACCTACTTTTTTTTACATCCTCATATGCACACCCCATGTGTATACATGATTCATCATACACTCTCATTGATCCAAAAGCACCTGTGCATCTTGATGAGACACAAATAAACAGAGGTGCACTGAGAGCACATCAGCCCCGACAGGTGTTGAATTAAACAGGTGGATGTGATGTCAAGAGGGTGACATAAATGGAGCCTGATCAAATATTAGCTACTGTCAGTCATATAATCGCTTCTTGATTTGTTACCTCCCGGATTTCATTTATTGTATTTGTAAGGACAACGCACATTGGTCAACATTTCTGTAAATGTGCCGGTGCCAAAACATAAAGACAGCATTAACTACAGCAAACAGAAATTGGCAAGATAGATCAGAAGTCATGCAAAGCAACAAGCCACAGCAAAGCATCAGTAACGTTACAATACAATAACACAACACACAACATGTTAGCATAAACAGACTTGTAAACAACATGAAGCACCAACACACAGATTAGCATTACATTCAGATATGAAGGGCAGCAATAGAAAATAAACACAGATAAAACACAATAGAAATTGTGTATGGTCATACGGCCTCTGCAATAAACGCGATGGGAAAGAAGCTCTGAGAGTCAGCTCGTGAAGTGTCAACTCAAATCAGTGGCTATAGCTAGCAGCTAGCTCGTTAGCTAAATCGGTTTATGGCTAGTAGGCTAGTTGCTTCATGTTGTCCCAGGCTAATGTTAGCTTACCGTTAACGCGTTACCAAACCACAAACTTTGCGGCTAAACACGATAGAAAGTGTAATTTGACGACACTTACCGATGTTCTGAAGATTTTTCCAGATTTCTCTATTTCCGGTAGGCTGCCAAAAACAACCACAAACTTTAAATATCCCGCCTACCGTCAGAAAAAATATACCTAAGATGGCGGCCGGAAGTGGCATCTCCTGCTCGCTTGCTGTGTGGGCCACAAGAAAAATATCATCAGGATATGCTATATGTAATATTGTTAGAGCCCACTGGAAAAAAATATGAATGTTTTAAAATAGTAAAACATTAGTATAGATACATCAATTTATTTATTATGTTTACATGTACCACAGGATTAGAAAGGAGTGTATGTATCTATCTATATTTGGCTGAACAAAAAAGCCTCAGCATGAGAAACTTGGCAAAATCCCACTGACAGCATATTTCTGTGCAAGACAGATAGACAAGTCTACTGTATGATGGATCAAGAGATGGCTTTAAAACAGGGGTAAGCGATGTAATACAGCACTCTGCATGTTCTTCAGTTTGGTTTTTATGTTTGAGGAAGAACAGGTGTAGCCTACGTCTCTTATTCATTTGTGATCACTTATCTCACATGTAAAGACAGTGAATACGTGACAGGTACAAACTGCTTAACATGCTTTTTATTTATACTTTAAGATAAAGCAGCAGTCTGTTTTAAAAGAACTCTTTTCTGCCTCTGACGTCTTTGTCTAAACCCTGATCCATTATTCAGTTAGCTTTAAAAATGGACATATTTATAAACTGACAGAGGAAATAATGCAACATTGTACCCTTGTTATGCATTCTAATCAGGGTTTTAAAAGACGATCCTGTCAACTGAATAGTACTTGATTACAGGATAATGACACTAGCGTTTGAACCAGTCCAATCTGCATAAAATGGAGGAACTGATAAAGGTCTCTCTAATTAGGATGGTGTTTACATCAGGCTTTACATACACCTATTAGGCTACCCTTGTCAACATCCTGCAAAGCCGGGCTCAGTGTGATAATGCACTTGGATGTGACTCCCACCGCTGACTGTTATTGTTGAGATACCCATTTTAGATGTTTCCCAGTATTCTTGGTAATGATGTGAATTCTACAGATGTTATTACGAGGGTGATACAGTCTTTAATGGCAGTAACTTTGTTCATGATTATCATGCCCATTTAGGTTTTGTATCTCGCACCCTTCCCCATATCCCCTCTCATGCCCATGCCTGGTGGTAGTCATCGCTGTCTCCTTTAGGCAGACTGCTATGAACACATTATGGATGGATGCATTAGTGAGTGATGCAGAGCCCGGGCTGGCTTGCCTTGTTTTCGTGTGAGAGTGCATCATTAGAAAATGTTCCACTTGGCAGGGAAGCGCGTATTAACTGCAACCGCAATGAAATGAGGTTGTGATAGATGGTTAAAGTTATACAGGACTATTAGGTTGAAATATGAACCTCTCAATTGTCATGATGAAACAAAGGGCTATTTGCGTGGTGATCAGTGCATTGAGAGACAATTGGAATCTGCAAAGACCGATACAATACATTATAGGTAGTGGGCTCAGAGCTGAAAGAGTACAGAAAAAGTAATCATGCTTCCACAGAATAGTTTGGAGCTACTGTTCAATTCAAGGCTCTATAAATTCATTTAGGTTCTCCACCAACATCTCAGCATTGTGATGAGACCTGGGGGAGATTTGCAAATAGGACACCTTGTCTAAGCCCTGTTGTGGACTCTGATGAGCCATATATACATATGAAAGGAAACCTGTGTAGATTGGCTATCAAAGGCCCTTTAATGGCATTGAAGACTTTAAGCAGACTGTGTGTGCCTAATGTGTCCATATGGACTGCCAGTGTCAATATGATATTAAGAAAATTAGAACAAGCCAAGATGTGAATCAGAATCAGCAGACAAAGACATACACTCAGCAACTAGCTTCTCTTTATATAATGTCGCTTGCCAATTAAGCATGCTCATTAAGTCATATCATGTTTCCATGGTGACCTCCAAGTTATTCTACCACCTGAATACAAACTTCAGACCTTAGTTTTCTTTAACTCCCAAGATGTGAACTGAAATGTGCGACTTACACATTAATTGCTCTCTTACCAGCACAGAATTGCCCATGCCAGACACATTCTTGCTTCCTAACAATAGTAACACATAAATCATTAATAATAGAAACACCTGATGGATAATTAAGTGATGTCATGGTGGCGCTCTCTCCAAACTTAGACTTTCTTTGGGTGCACTCTGTCTTAAACTAACAACAGATCCAATTGCAAACCCATTAGCATTTAATATTACTGTAATTACTGTGTACATTTCATTATGTTCTCAGTATATTAAATGACTGCTCAGTGTGGAGGGAGGGCTATAGTTTAATCTCTTTCTGTATTACTGTGTGCCACAGTACTCAAAACAGCATTAAGAGGCACATAATCAGAGGGAACTAATTGCCTATGATTGCATAAATGAAGTGCCTCTCTCTCATCAGGCCTGTTGCTGATGTCCAGTCTCTCGCCACCCTGGGAGAGGAAGGCGGTTGACCACAATGCTGAAAACCTTGGAGAGACAGCTTCTGGTGGGTAATGTGAGGAAACCAATGATTTAATATGTCCATGGGGGGCTGTGAGGGCAGGGGGTGTTACTACTGCTGATGCTTTTTTTTGTTGCTTTTTGTCATCAGAGTTGCCTCCGCTTCACAGAGGAAAAAAAAAAAGAAAAAAAGAAACATGAATGCCCACCATTTGAGAAATGAATTTATCGAAGTCGCTGTCTTTTTCCCCATTAGTAAGTGTTTAGTTCAGCGTTTTAAATAATTGCGTTACCAGGAATGATATTTAAAATACATTTGGGAGTCAATGAGGCGGGAAAGTGCCTACATGTTTTGCTGATGACACCCGGGCCATTTGGAAGACATCAAAGTAGAGAGGAGGTAGCCCAGATGCATATTATAAACTCATTATGTATATCATTTAAAAGGATGTACTCCAGCCGCAAAAACAATATTCCTAGTCTCTCTCTGGTAATGTGTGTTTTCAAAGTTGAAACTCTTACTCGCCTTCAGTTTAATGTGGCATCTATTACCAAACTGTAACATAAAATAAATGACCTTGATTTCCATACTAGAACAGTCGTTAAGGTATAGATGAGATGCAGCAATGCTTCCGTGTTTCCAAATGGGAGAGAAGGTAAAACCTCTCCACAAATATCATGCATTTCTCCACCTGTGGTGCAGACCTTGCTTTCCACAGAGCTTACAGGCGTCTTAAAGGACTCTGACAAAGAGGTGCATAAACATACATAAAAATATGTGTGTTTTCATGCATTGGGTATCCAATACAACAAATTTTAATAGATGAGGATATCAGAGCAAGTAAATCAATCTCCAGAAACTTCAAGGCAATTCTGAGACATCTTTGCAAGCCATAAAAATCTATCTTTGGTGTCTGGAGACTTTAAAGATGGGATCGGTTTTGCGACTGAATAGAATTTCTACCAACATTGGAAAATGGTGGTCCATCAGTCAAAAGAGATGTTTGTCAGATGCCTAGCGAGTAGGCTTAAGAGGCTTAATTATGTGCCGTCCCTCCACCATCAGAACACTACACGTGGGGCAGAGTGACACAGCGGTTGCCAGTCATTCAGCCTAATGTTCTAATGCAGGGAGCCATG